AAGCAAGCCCCAGGGAACTGCTGTTCTTTTTTCACATCACGTGGCTTCTCCAGAGGTAATGAGAATAGACAGGAACGAGCACACATACACATACAAAAAAAAAAAAAAAAAAAAAAAAAATTAGCCAAGCATGGTGGCCTGTGCCTATGGTCCCAGCTGCTCAGGAGGCTGTGGCAAGAGGATCACTTAGGCTGGGGAGGCAGAGGTTACAGTGAGCTGAGATCGTGCCACTGCACTCCAGCCTGGTGACAAAGTGAGACCCTGTCTCAAAAAATGTGTGCGTGTGTGTGTGTGTGTGTGTGTGTGTGTGTGTGTGTGTGTGTACGTATACACACATTAACAAGGCCAGGCACAGTGGCTCATGCCTATAAACTCGGCACTTTGGGAGGCTGAGGCAGGAGGATCACTTGAGTCCAGGAGTTTAAGATCAGCCTGGGCAACATGGTGATATCTTATGTGTTTTTTATCTCTACAAAAAATAAAACAAAAAAAGATTAGCCAGGCATGGTGGTGTGTGCCTGTGGTCCTAGGTACTCAGGAGGCTGAGGTGGGAGGATTGCTTGAGCCCAGGAGGTTGAGGCTGCACTGTACTCCAGGCTGGATGACTCTAAAAATATAAATATAAAATAAATATTTATGTATATATATACTTTATATATACATATATATATATACTTTATATATACATATATATATATATATATATATAATTTACCATTTAAAACATTTTAAGTGTACAATCCAGTACATTCATATTGTTATGCAAACATCACCACTATCCATCTATAGACTTTTTTCATTTTCTCAACCTGAGACTTTGTACCCATTAGATGCTAACTCACCATTCTCTCCTCCCCCAGCCTATGGTACCCAGTATTCTTCTTTCTGTCACTATGAATTTGACAGTTCTAGCAATTTCATGTAAGTGGAATCACATAGCATTTGTCCTTTTGTGACTGGCTTATTTCACTAGCATAGTGTCATCAAGGTCCACGCAAGTTGTAACCTGTTCAGAACGTCATTCCTATTAGGCATTAGGCTGACTAACATTCCATTGTCTGTATCTGCCACATTTTGTTTATCCAGCTGTCTACTGATGGACATGTGGGTATCACCCTTTTCTTGCTAGCCAGAGTTTGCAGATCTTGGCTTCTGTTACTTGCACCAAAAGCACCTGAACTTGGACAACAACCCATCAATCACCTGGGCAGGGACTCAGGGGAGCCCCATGTGCCCGCTGCCCTTGCTCCTCCACAGGGGCCAGTGCTACCTGCTTTGGTCCCTCCCTAGACTGTAAGTCCCTGCTCCTTGGTCCAGGAATTTCTCTCTACTCTCCTTGCTATCAGGAGTTACAGCTAAATATGATCAAACTCCTTTCTCCAGGAGCTCTCAGCCTAGGGATGACAGAATCACTAGCATACAATGTAATCAGGCCCAGGCCTTTGCCTGCAGAGATCAAAGCTGACATGGGGTGGGGGTGGCAGGGATTAGGTTGACAGAAGTCAGGACAACATCAGATGTAGCAAAAAGTTTCAAAGTCCTTAGCCAGCACCAGGGTCAAAGCCAGGGAATCAGAGCTCAAAGGCCTAAAAACCAGGACCAGGCTGAAAACAGGAAGCTCAGGGCTGGGTGTTGGAACAAAATGTCATTGTCTTGTGTTTTGTTTTATTTTTAAATTCAGGAGGGCTGACATGCAGGTCTGAAAACTTGACTAATT